AGGAGATTGGACCGTGCTGGAAATGTAAGGCTGGTGGTCATCAGCAAGTAGGTGATACTTGGAGCCCAGGAAGAAAGAATAGCTGGGAAGGAAGAGTCATGAGGGCCGGGCCCGGGCCTAGGGGGGACAAACAGCAACGTTTCAGAAGAAGAAACCAGAGAGGTTGGAGTAACACAAATCGTGGCAGCAATGAGCACATCAAAGGAGCTTCAGGAAGGCAGGTGAACAACCCGCGGATGTGGCCACGGGGGTGCGCCATGGAGTGGTGCTGGCACAGGGGCTGGCTTTCCACGGGAAGCTGGGCTGGGAGATGACCGAAGGCAATGATGCACATTGCTCATTTAAACAAATCTGGTTATTTGTGAAGAGAAAGGGCAATCTCTGACTCAGAGTCAAAGAGGACATTGTTTAAGATGGGGGAGAGGTTTTAATGCCAGGAAGGAGCTGGTTTATGGGAGAGGATGAGGGTATGGGAGAGTGGGGGTTAATTGCTAGAGGAAAGTCTGCAGCAGTGGGAGACAGATCAGGGTTTCCATTCTTTGGCCAATGCTGGGCATATCCACATTGGGGTCCCATGCTAGTGAAGGCAGAGAAGAAGGGGTAGGGGCATTTAAAATGGGATCTGGGCCCTGGCCAGTTTGGCTCAGCGGTTAGAGCATCAGCCTGCGGTCCAGAGAGACCAGGGTTTGGTTCCAGCTAAGGGCACGTATCTTGGTTGCAGTTTGTCCCCGGCCCTGGTTGGGTTGTGTGGGTGACAGCCACTCGATGTGTCCCTTTCACGTCGAAGTTTCTCTCTCTCTCTCTCTCTCTCTCTCTCTTCCTCACTCTCTCTCCCACTCTATCTGAACGAAAGGTGGAAAAGTGTCCTTGGGTGAGGATTAAAAAATAAAAAAATAAAAAATAAAATAAAATGGCATCCTAGCCCTGGCCGGTTTCTCAGTGGTTAGAGCCTCAGCCTGCAGACCGGAGAGTCCTGGGTTCAGTTCCCGCTAAGGGCACGGACCTCGGCTGCGGTTCGTCCCCACCCCAGTTGGGGTTGTGTGGGTAGCAACCAATCAATGTGTCTCTCTCACATCGATATTTCTCTTTCTCTGTCTTCCTCCCTCTCTCCCTCCTGTTCTATCTGAAGATAAATGCGAAAGTGTCCTTGGGTGAGGATAAAAAATAAGATGGCATCCTGACTCGAGTCTTCGATAGCTGCTCTCTCACCCTCCTCATGTTCCCCTGGATCCTCAGTCCTGTTCTTCCCTGCTCACCCTGGGCAAAAGGTCATCACCACCAGCTAGTCCCTGCCCCTCCCATCCCGCACCCTCTGCCCTCTCTGGACACAGCCTTCTCAGGTTGCTCGACTGGTCCAAAGGGCAGGGTGCTGATATTGCAGGGGCAGGGAGCTGGGCGGAAAGGATCTTAGCAACAGGAAAGGGCCATGACTGCCTGTCTCCAGGTTAGGTCAAGAGGGTTTATCTTTTATTGGGAGAGGGCTAGAAAGAACTGGGTGCGGGGACATGGGATGAATGGGGGTGGGGTGGTGGGACAGTGGGTCAGAGAAGGTGTTACCCTGAGGCCGGTCTCTTCTCAAGAGGGACTGTTGAGGAGGCTCTGCCTACTGGCTCTGGCTGATCCTGGGCCGAGGTCAGGGACCCGAGAGAAGGAAATAATCTTAACCAAATTATGGTTAACATGCATTTCATTCCAGTTGATTAGTGGGAGAAAGCAGCTCAGTCCATCATTTATGAAGCAAAAATGGGAATTCGGAGGGTCTGTGTCTGGCTCTGTCTGGTAAACAAGGCAGACACCCAAGTCCTGTGGGGGAGGGGCGGCCCTTTGCAGTGAGTCCTTTCCAGAACACAGAAGGGTGGGAGGGTCCCTTAACTGGCACTGTGTTCCAGGAGCACAGGGCTCAGGTAAAATTTCACATAGTCCCGCCTTATCCCTGTTCTCCCCATTCAAAATCCTCATTGCTTAGAACAGCAGGTCTCTGCTAGGTGTTAGGCAATCTTTCTCTCCATTAATAACATCTCAAGGGTGTGGGATTTGGAACTCGCTTAGACCCGCCTACACTATGTAGGTTAGAGGAACGGCAGCATTTCCAGGGGGTTTGTCAGAGGCGTCCAGCTTCCAGGTCAGCTGTGAGCCACTGTGGGTTCTGGAGGGAGAAGATGTGACTGTGCTTCCCCCACAGATGCCTTCATCCCAGCAGCCTCGCTTGCAGGCCTCTGCTGCCCCAGCCCTGTTCCTCTGAGGGGCAGAGGTTGGTGCCGCGAGTCACCTGGCTCTCAGAGGATCAATGCCCCGAGCCTGGCTGTGGGCACTGGGCCATCTTCCCCTCCCCTCCCTCTCCCACTTCGCCCTGCTTAGTTGCGAAGCTAGGGTTTGAAAGGGCTGGGCTGCCAGTGTGTCTCACCCTCCAGTGCCTTAGGACCAACTCCCAGCGCAGCTGCTGGCACTGAGGGCTGGAGCAGGCGACCTGTCCATGAACCAATAATGGCTTCAGCAGAGAACACCCCTTTTTTAGTGCTATTAAGTCTCTAACAGTGTGATAGGCAGAAAGGCTCCTACAGCCACTTGAGGTGAGCAGGTGCCTCTCCCAGCTGTGGAGTGTGGGAACGGAGCAGGGAGAGCCTGTTGGAGCACGCCCATTCCCAGACCTGGGGGGAGAGGCCTTTGAAGCTGCAGCTATCAGATGGCTTTGATCCTCCCAGGGCCAGAGATAAAGACAAGATGAGGGAGACGTTATTAATGTTATTATTTATACTTAGTGTAACTCACATTTGGGGCCTCTTTTGTAAAGTATTTAATTTATGTGTAATTTACTTCTCATAGCATCACTTCTGGGCAGAGGATAAAGGCTTCAGGAAATAATCACTTTTCCCCACGTTGGAGTGTTCATTAAGCCAGGCCTAATGGCACATGCATTCCCTTGACAGTTTGGCTTTTATAGGAAATTATGTCTTTAGCTTGTGGGCTTTGGTGACCTAGGAGGGTGATTTTGAAAGATTTTTATCATTCTCCCCTTTTGAAAGCTCATATATGGAGAATGTATGGGAGGGGGTTACAGGCATCTTGGAAAAGAGGACAATGATTTGGTGAGGTGGCCGGAGAGGTGATTAAAATACAACCTATGTCATCACTATCACCGGTGTCTATGGAATACCAGTGGAATGGTGCTTTTCAAATTTGAGCACCAGGGTCCCCAGGGGGGTGGGGGGGCTTTTTAAAACCAAGATTGCTGGGCCCCAGTGTTGAGTTTCTTTTTTATTATTTTATTTTACTTTTAAATATTTTTTCTTTGTTGATTTTAGAGAGAGACGAAGGGAGAGAGAGAGAAACATCAGTGAGAGAGAACATCTATTGGCCGCCTCCTGCATGTCACCCACTGGAGACTGGACCCACAACCTGGGCGTGTGCCCTGATTGGGAATTGAACCAGCAACCTCTTGGTGCATGGGTCAACACTCAACCACTGAGCCACACCAGCCGGAGTTTCTGATTCAGTAGGTCTGGGGTGGGAAATAAGAATTTGCATTTCTTTTTTTTTATCCTCACCCGAGGACATTTCCCCATTGTTTTGCACAGATAGAGTAGGAGGGAGAGAGAGGAAGAGAGAGAGAGAGAAACATCGACGTGAAAGGGACAGATCGAGTGGCTGCCACCCGCACGACCGACCAGGGCCGGGGACAAACTGCAACCGAGGTACATGCCCCTAGCGGGAACCGAACCCGGGTCTCTCCGGACCGCAGGCCGACGCTCCAACCACTGACCCAAACCGGCCAGGGCAATAATTTGCATTTCTATCAAATTACTAGGTGATGCTGATGTATGGAAAAGATACTCATATTGAGAACCACTAAGCAGTATATTAGATCTCTAAGATCTAAGATTCTGAAAAATAAAAAAAACAGTAAAATTCCTCTAAAATGTCAAGTTTTTACTTTGATTAGAGAGATTTCAATCAGTGTGTGCAGCAGGTAGACAGAGACCTACTCTGGAGACTTCAAGGAGGCCTGGGTACCTTTGGGAGCCTAAGCCTGAGTACGAATGCTTTTGATATTGGCTTTCTTCATTTAGCATAATTTCCTTGAGGTTCACCCAAGTTCTTATGTGTATCAATAGTTCAGTCCTTTTTATTGCTAAGTAGTACTCCATGGTTGTTAAACCATTCACTCTTTGAAGAGCATCTGGGTAGTTCCAAGTTTTGGGATATTATGAGTAAAACTGCTACAAACATTTGTGTGCAAGTATCTGAGTGAAAATACCTCTTCACTTCTCTGGGATATATGCTTACAGGTATAATTGCTAGTAAATCCATTTTTTAGCTTTAAAAGGAATTTCCAAATTATTTTCTAGAGTAACTGTACCATTTTACAGTCTCACCAGCAATGTATGAGTGACCCAGTTTCTCCTCAGTAAAGCTTGTATTATCACTATTTTTCATTTCAGACATTCTGATAGGTGTACAGTGATATCTCGTTGTGGTTTCAATTTGCATTTCTCTAATGCCTTCATATGTTTCACGTCTTTTTATGTACTCGCTACCTGTGTATCCTCTTTGGTGAGATGTTTGTTTATGACTTTTGCCGTTTTTTCAATTTGATGGTTTTCTTTTTCACTGTTGATTTTTGAGAGTTCTTGGTCAGATATGTAGTTTAAAAATATTTTTCTCACTTTCAACCATTTCATGGAGTTTCTCATAGAACAAAAGGTTTTCATTTTTAACTAGGTCCAATGTATCAATTTTTTCATTCATGGGTTATACTTTTGGTGGCAAGTCCCAGGAACTCTGCCTGACTCCAGACCCCAAAGATTTTCTCTTGTTTTATATTTTTATGTTTTACATTTAGGTTGACGATCCATTTTGAGTTAATTTTCATATACGTTAAGGTGTGAAGTTTAAGATGAGGTTCTTTTTTTCCCCCAATAAATGTTCAATGCACCACTTACTGTAAAGGCTATCCCTCCTCCACTTGGTTGCTTTTTCTACTTTCTTAAAAATTAATTAGCAAAAGGAGCTTCTGTAGTGAGTGGCACACGTAGAGCATCTTGATTGCTCCATGTGCTGAATAGATATCAAGAGATTTTGGAAGCATAATTATTTGGTACTTGGGTAGCTGGTAATTATTGGTCCTGGTGCCCATTTAAAAATTTAATTAGGCATATTTGTGTAGATTTATTTCTGGATCTATATTCTGATCCAGTGATCTATGTATCTATCTTTCACCGGTACCACACTGTCTTGATGACTGCAGCTATATAGTAAGCTTTAAAATTGGGAAGAGTGATTCCTTTCATTTTATGCATCTTTCTCTAAATCATTTTGCTATTTAGGGCTTTACCCTTTCCATATAAATTTTAGAATGAACTTCTCTATATCTACGTAAAACCTTGCTGAGGTTTTAATAGGAATGTGTTAAGCCTATGGATGAATCGAGGGAACTGACATCTTTACTATCTTGAATCTTCCAATCCATGAACATAGTATGTTCTGCAAGTGTTTAGATCTTTGATTTTTCATTAGCATTTTATCATTTTCATTGAATACACTATACATGTGTATTTGTCTTTGTATAAGTCTTTGTTAGATTTACAAATAAGTCTTTCATTTTCTTTGGAGCAATTGTAAATGGTATTGTGTTTTTTAAAAGATGAATGTAATTTATTCTTTTCCTTTTTAAAATTACTGACAGTATTACAGAAGTCCCTCATTTTCCCCCTTTTTGTCGCCCTCCACCCAACACTTACCCCACCCCAGACCTTTTCTACATTATTGTCTGTGTCCATGGGTTATGCATACATATATACACATATATTCTTTGGTTAATCTCTTCCCATCCTCTGGTATTAAATTTTTTAAAATTATTTTTATTAATTTGTTTTTGTTACAGATGATTCTCCTTTTTCTCCCATTGACATCCTCCTCCCTATTCCCCCTGCCCCATCCCCAGCTTTATTGTCTATGTCCATTGGTTATGTATACATGCATATAAGTTCTGTGGTTTATCTCTTCCCCCCCAGGACCCCCTCTTTGAGGTTTGTTGGTCTATACTCTACCTCTATGTCTCTGGGTCAATTTTGTTCATCAGTTCGTTTAGTTCATTATATTCCACAAATAAGTGAGAGCATGTGATATTTGTCTTTCTCTGCTTGGCTTGTTTTGCTTAGCATAATACTCTCCAGGTCCCTCCATGTCATTTCAAAGGATAGAGATCTTTCTTTCTCACAGCTGCATAATATTCCATTGTGTACATGTAACACAGCTTATTAATCCATTTATCTACTGATGAACACTTGGGTTGTTTCCAGATTTTAGCAATTGTAAATAGTGCTGCTATGAACATAGGGACACATATATTCTTTCTGATTGGTGTTTCAGGCTTCTTAGGGTATATTCCCAGAAGTGGGATCACTGGGTCAAATGGAAGTTCAATTTTTAATTTTTTGAGGTAATACCATAGTGTTTTCCATAGTGACTGCACCAGTCTGCATTCCCACCAGCAGTGTACTAGAGTCCCCTTTTCTCCACATCCTCGCCAACACTTGTTGTTTGATGATTTGTTGATGGCAGCCATTCTGACAGGTGTGAAGTGATACTTCATTGTTGTTTTAATTTGCATCTCTCTGATGATTAGTGACATTAAGCATTTTTTCATATGTCTCTTGGCCATTTGTATGTCCTATTCAGAGAAGTGTCTGTTTAGGTCCTCTGCCTATTTTTTAATTGGGTTCTTTGTCTTCCTTTTGTTGAGTTTTATGAGTACTCTATATATTTTGGAAATTAACCCCTTATGTGATGTATCATTGGCAATGATGCTCTCCCATACAATGGGTTCCCTTTCCATTTTAATGGTTGCTTCTTTTGCTGTGCAGAAGCTTTTTAGTTCGATGTAGTCCCATGTGTTCATTTTTTTCTTTGTTTCTGTTGCCTTAGGTGATGTAGCAGTGAAAATTCTGCTGCGTATGATGTCTGAAATTTTGTTGCCTACATTTTCTTCTAGAATTTTTATAGATTCGAGAGTTACATTTAAGTCTTTTATCCATTTTGAGTTTATTCTTGTGTACGGTGTAAGTTGGTGGTCTAGCTTCATTTTTTTGCAAGTAACTGTCCAATTTTCCCAACACCATTTATTGAAGAGACTGTCTTGACTCCACTGTATGCTCTTGCCACCTCTGTCAAATATTAATTGAGCATATTGTCTTAGACCTCTTCACAGAAAACGACAGGTCATTGAAAAAAGAAATAGAGGAAGATATAAAAAAAGTGGAAGCCCATACCTTGTTCATGGATTGGAAGGATTAACATCACTAAAATGTCCACACTACGCAAAGCAATCTAGAGATTCAGTACAATTCCCATCAAAATACCAATGACATATTTCACAGAACCAGAACAAACACTCCAAAAGTTTATATGAAACCAAAAAAGACCCCGAATAGCCACATCAATTTTGAAAAAGAAGAACAAAGTAGGAGGGATCACATTACCAGATATCAGGTTATACTACAAAGCCACTGTAATCACAACAGCCTGTTACTGGCACAAGAACAGGCAGATAGATCAATGGAACAGAACAGAGAACCCTGATCTTCAGTTTTTTATATCAGTTACCAATTATTTGTTTTTAGTATATAGAAATACAATGATTTTTGCAGTTGATTTTAGAACTCACAACCTTACTGAACTTTTATTACTTCTAGGGAATTTTTTTGGTAGCTACATTGGAATTTTTTACATAGTAACCATGTTATCTGTGATAAGGACAGCTTTATTTCTTCTTTTCAATCTGTATGCCTTTTATTCCTCTTTAATTTTAATTATTATTATTATTTTTGCCTTATTCCAGTGGTTAGATTGAGTACTGTGGTAAATAAGAGTGGTGAGAGTGGTCATCCTTGCCTTGTTTCCAGTCTTAGTCAGAAGGCATCAGTCTTTCATTATCAAATATAATATTAGCTTTAGATTTTTTGTAATGCACTTTATAAGTTTGAGGAATTTCCCCCCTATTCTTAGCTGAAATTTTTTTTTTTAATCATGAATGGGTGTTGACTTTTGTTCAATGCTCTTTTTTTGCATCAATTGATATGAGCACATGATTTTTCTTCTTTAGTGTGTTAATGTAGTAGATTACATGAGTTAATTTCAAATATTAAATGAGCCTTACATACCTGAAATAATCTCACATGTCAAGGTATATTATCCTTTTTATACTTTTTTGGATTCAATTTGCTAAAATTTTGTTGAAGAGTTTCTGTTTAATTGTATGAGAGATATTGGTCTTTTAGTTTTCTTTCTTTTTTTACTGTGCTTTCTTAATAGAGTTTTAGTGCCAAGGTAACTGTTGTCTCATCAGATGAATTGGAAAGTGCCCTCCCCTTTTACTTTCTGGAAGATATTGTATAAAATTGGTGTTAATTCTTCCCTGAATGATTGGTAAAATGTTCTAGCAAAACCATCTAGGCCTGGACTTTCTTTTTGGGGAGACTTTAAAATATAGATTCAACTTCTTTAATCATTTTAAGGCTATTCAGGCTATCTATTTCATCTTGGCTGAGCTTAGGTAGTTTGTGGTTTGTGAGGAATTTTGGCCATTTATTCTAACTTTTCAAATGTATAAGTGTAATGTTGTTCATACTATCTCTTTGTTACCCTTGAATAGATGCAGACTCTGTTGTGATATTTTTTATTTTATTTCTAATATTGGTGATTTATGATTTATCTTTACAAAGACCCAGTTTTTTGTTTCACTTATTTTCCTTATTGTTTTCCTGTTTTCAATCACATCAATTTCTGTTCTTTATTTTTTCCCTTCCTCCTGCTTGCTTTGTGCTTATTTTGTTCTTCTTTTTCTAATTTCTTGAGGTAAATACTTAGATTACTGATGTCAGATTGTTCCTCTTTTCTTATGTAAACATTTAGTGCTATAAATTTCCTTTTCAGCACTGTAACTCAATCCCACAAGTTGTGGTATGTTGTGATTTTTTATTTTATTTTATTTTATTAACCTCACCCGAGGACATTTTTTCACTGTTTGTTCAGATAGAGTGGGAGGGAGAGAGAGAGAGAGAGAGAGACAGAGAGAGAGAGAGAGAGAGAGAGAGAAACATCGACATGAAAGGGACACATTCAGTGGCTGCCACCCACACGACCCAACCAGGGCCAGGGACAAACTGCAACCAAGGTACATGCCCTTAGCAGGAACCGAACCCATGTCTCTCTGGACCGCAGGCCAGTGCCCTAACCATTAAGCAAAACTGCAAGGCTTGTTTGTTTTTTTAATCCACTCTGCTGATCTCTGTCTTTTAATTGCTGTATTTAGACCACTTACCTTTAAACTCATTATTGATGTATTAGAGTTTAATTTGTTTCCTGCTTATTTCCTCTGTTTCTTGTTACCCTGTTATCTTTCTCCTGCTTTCCTGTGGTTATTTGAATGCTTTTTAGAGTTTCATCTTGATTTACTTTTAATTTTTTAAATTAATTAATTTTTTTGTTACAGATGTTTCTCCTTTTTTACCTCATTGACACCCCCCTTCCCACCCCACACCTGCCCTGTCCCTGGCTTTGTTGTCCATGTCTATTGGTTATGTATACATGCATATAAGTTCTGCGGTTTATCTCTTCCCACCCCCCACCCCCACCCCTCTTCTGACAGATGTCAGTCTGTGCCCTACTTCCATGTTTCTGGGTCTACCCTATTCCTCAGACTGTTATGATCATTATATTCCGTATATAAGTGAGATCATGTGGTATTTGTCTTTTTCTGCTTGGCTTATTTCACTTGGGATAATACTTTTCAGGTCCCTCCATGTCATCTCAAAGGATAAGAGATCTTTCTTTCTTACAGCTGCGTAGTACTCCATTGTGTATATGTATCACTGCTTTTTTATCCATTCTTCTACTGATGGACACTTGGGCTGGTTCCAGATCTTAGCTATTGTAAATAGTGCTGCTATGAACATGGGGGTACATATATATTTTCTGATTGGTGTTTCAGGCTTCTTAGGGTATATTCCTAGAAGTGGGATCACTGGATCAAATAGAAGTTCAATTTTTAACTTATTGAGGTAACACCCTACTGTTTTCCATAGTGGCTATACTACTCTGCATTCCCACCAGCACTGTACTAGAGTCCCCTTTTCT